AGGCGGAGGCGGAGGCGGAGGGTAAGAAAGAATCGCGAGCCCGGTACGCCACGCCGCTGACCACGACTGGCGTGGAAGAGGCTGCACCGGCCCTGAAGGGGGACGAGGAAGAGAAGCCAGAGTGGGTGGAGGAACAGGAGCGAAGAGTGAGTGAGGAAAATGAACTGAAAGGTCGGGCACGCCGCCGGACGAAAAGTGAGGATGGGAAGTATCTGGATGTAGAGGATGAGGATTTCGAGTGGTCGGAGGAAGTTCAGAAGCAGCAGGAACAACAGCTGCGCAACGAGCTCCTAGAGCAGTACCGCTCCCTGATGGTGGACCGGAACCGCTACCAGCGCTACAACGTACACCTGCAGCACAGGATCTTCGAGGCGCTGCGCAAGAAGAAGGGCCTGGAAGCCACTGATATGCCGGATAAAGACGTGGAGACCGAGGCCCCCGAGAAAGAGCAATCGTATTTACGCTATCTGGCCGTGCTGGAGGAGCTGAAGAAGCAACAGGCAGACGACCTGCAGTGGTACCACCAGGAGCTGGCACAGATGAAGCAGCAGTGCCAGGAGAAAGTCACTAGGGTGGAGAAGGAGTGGCGAGGCTTCCAGGCACTCAAGAAGCAAGTAGTGATGCAAGCCATGGGCAGCTGTCGGATGCGAGGTGGGCGCCAGGCCGCTCTGAGGGAGGTGGAGCAGATCCAGGCATTGGAGGATAAAAAGGAGAAGGAGATGAGCTCTGTGCGGCTAGAGAACGTGCAACTGAAGCAGAGTGTGGCGCATTTTGAAACCAGGATGAGGGCGCAGGAGGACTTGTCTGAGGGTCTGCTCCTCATTGATTTTGAACAGCTTAAGATTGAGAACCAGACCTTCAATGAGAAAGTTGAGGAACGAAATGAGGAACTTTTAAAACTGCGCAACAAAGTGACCAACAATGTGCAAATAATAACCCACGTGAAGGAGAAGTTGCACTTCATGGATATGGAGAATGCATGCAAAAAGACACAGCTTCTGGAAATTGAGGCTCAGGTAGCCCTAGGAAGGGACATCTTGACCAAGACAAAACAAGCCCGAGACAGCCTGAGGGTTGACAACATCAAGCTAAATCAGAAGTGTGGGCTTCTGGGTAAGGACTCCCTCCTTCAGGATTTGGAAGAAAAGGTGGAAAAGACAGAACTGCTCAGCCAGCGCCTGGAGTCCCTGAAGCGCCATCATGCTGGGCTCACTCTGTCCTGCAGAGGTGTGAGGCAGAAGATTAGGGAAGCCAAAGCCTTTCTCCCTTCTTGATACAGTCCATAGAAGAGTCAACAAAACATTCTCACTCTCAGCATATGTTGTCTTTTAGCTCTTATTTTTTTTTTTTTTTTTTTTTGCCATTCTTTAAAAGGCCTCTGATATTTGGGGTAGAGTTATATTTTATACTTACCTCATAATTATTTATCTTCCAAATTAGTGCTGAGCATGAAATTAGGTCAGCAATCAGTTTTATATAGGACTAAGTAAAATAGGTCCAGAGAAAACAAACAGGGGTTATTTAACATAACTGATTTCTCACAAAAAGCTTTCAAAAGTCTTTTTATATCTGAGCAGTTCCATAGTTTTGATAACAAAACTAAGGAGTCCTGTTGCTTTTCCATGTGTTAGAAGGGTTTGAAAGTTCAAGCAATGGGTAGGGTACAAAAATATTCTTGTGCATTAAGCTAATTATTAAACTCTTTTTGGATTTATTGGACTGTGTACCCTTGAATCCCTGTTTCAATTAGAAGCTCACTAATTCTCTAGTCTTAAGCTGAAATTGTTTTATATGTAAATAGCACTAGCTTCTGGGGTAATAAAAAATGTCCAAGAAAGAGGAGAAATGATAAGCAGGAAAAGGAACAGCTGTTCTTTCATCTTTTCTTTTTCAGTGAAAGGAAGCTCAGGCTACCAACAATTAAAATTTGTTTCTGCCTCAATGACAGTCTTCAATTCTAATTAAATGTTTTCTTGGATCTTCGGAAGAACTGTATTGATCTGTATCCCCCACAAAAAATGAAATTTTGTTTTCTAGTGAAAACAGTGTGACAGCTATATTGTTTTGCCAAGAGCAAAATATATGGAATTGTGGCTGCTGGGATTCTAGATGTGACCGCAGCTTCTTACTGCTGCAGCTCTTCCATGGCCTGGGGACCACAGCCTTCTATTTCAGCTGGATATTTTTAGATCTCAACAGCAGGACTCTCATTATGCTTAAGAATTCACTGTGTCAAATTTTTTATGCCTTAATCCATTTATTCGGAAATAAGAAACAAGATAAACAGGAACTTATCACCTTCAACCTTCAACTCTACTATGATATCAATAAATAAGTTTACCAGCTCTACATAATCATTAGAACTGCCTCCCCCCTTTTTTTTAAAGGTCATCATAGCCCCAGACCTCCCCATTTGCCAACTCCAACCTCCAGTATGACACGGAATGGTCCTGCCCTCAAGTATACAAAATATTAGTCCTTCTCCATTCCTTCCTCCTCCTTTACTCCTTTGATCTCAGGCTCCTCCTTTACTCCTTTGATCTCAGGCACCTCCTCTACTCCTTCGTGGGACTTCTTCTGTCCATCCATGTCCAATCCATCTCCCCTTTCCAAGGTCAGCCATTGGACTCAGCTAGGCCTGCAGCTGTTCATTCTGCTATCTAGTAGCTTTCAGGCACTCCTGGGTCTCCTGCAACTCCTGGTGGGCTATCTCAGCTGCCATTGTGCCTGCAGCTTTTTATTCCCTGTGCAGTGACGCCTCCTAGATTAGCTGCTGATAGGCTGCTACATGCTGGTATAGGAAGATCAGATACTGATCTTGCTCTTGCTGCAGACTCTTTGCCTCTTAATTCTTCAGCTCCACCTGTGGGAAGACCCTGGACATGAGGACAGGTGGTGGCCTGCTTCTAGATTCTGAGCCCATAAACAGGGGAGACAGGATGTTGGGGTTCAGGCAGTTGCCTATGTTCTTGGTTCTTGGTGTGTTCTTGGCCAAAAAATGATAAGACCCAATAAAGCAAGGCAAACATGAAACAGTTTACTGGGGAAGAAAGGTAGGTTTACAGAGCAAGAGCAAGATATAGGTTTACAGAGTGAATATGTTTACCACAGGTGATGAACAGTCCTCCACTGCTGCCATGAAGGAAAAGGCTGTATCAAATATTAAAATGGCATTATTCCTTGTGTTAGTGTAAAAAATAATTGATAGGTCTATTTCCTTAGCACAGTATTAGTGATTACCTTGGAGCCAGGGGCTTGGTTTGATTTCCTAGGATGAATTTTAAGAGGTGCAGATTTGGGAATCAAAGTATTCTCTTATTCTTAAACTTAAGCGGATCATTAGAAAGATGATATATTTTTTGGTACTAGATACCACTAAAAAATGGTAGAAACTCCACTCTGGGCAGGTGACTCAGTTGGCTGTGAGAATCTTTTGATGACATGATTTCGTTCTCTAAACTATGTGTTCCCTTTGATGCCAAAGATGGTTGAATAAACTTATTTTTCTAATTACCATGGCCTGAATACACTCTTTTATATCAAACCACGTAACTGTAAAAGTGAGGGGAATAAAAGAAAAAGCTTTGGCTTCTAGCTTCCATTCTCTTCCTTACTCTACAATTTTAGTCTTTCCTCTATCCCAGGGGTCCTCAAACTACGGCCCATCAAGGACATTTATCCGGCCCACCGGGTGTTTTTGCTGCCACTGCCTGTCCTGCTTAGCAGCCGACTGGTCCTGGGCCTGCAGTCTGGCCCTCCAATGGTCTGAGGGACAGTGAACTGGCCCCCTGTTTAAAAAGTTTGAGGACCCCTGCTCTATCCTGTTCATCAAGGCCAAAGTGAAGCAGTACCTAGCAAGTAGAAGTTGGTTTGCTTTGTAACTCAAACTTTAATAAAAGCAGAACAGGCCCACTGGCTCTTCTGTAGGAGGCTTCAAACGCAGAGCATCCTTTATCTCTGTAGCTCACTAATGAGAGAATCACAGAAATAAAAGATGATTTTCAGACGATTTTTAACAATTAGCAACTAGATCCAATCAAACACTTCCACACTAGCATTGAACTTAGAAACAAGCAAATCTCTCAGAACACAAAGCTATAAAGTAGTTTGATGGGGCAGTGCCTATGGCTCAATGGGTAAGGCACTGGCCCCATATACTGAGGGTGGTGGGTTCAGGCCCAGCCCTGGCCAAACTGCAACAAAAAATAGCCAAGCGTGCTGGCAGGCGCCTGTGGTCCCAGCTATTTGGGAGGCTGAGGCAAGAGAATCACCTAAGCCCAGGAGTTGGAGGTTGCTGTGAGCTGTGTGATGTCATGGCACTCTATCGAGGGTGATAAAGTGAGACTCAGTCTTTACAAAAAAATAAAAGAAGTTTGATCAAGTTAGCATTGCTTTAAGCTACAAAGCAAATCAGTGTCCCAAGTAAATTATTTCATAGTAAGTTACCAATATTCTTTCAGATTATAGTACTGTATGCTGAAGATGTTATGATTAACTAGAAGCCAATCCTCTGACTACTTCCTAACATGGTTTTTTATTTATTTATTTATTTTTTGGGGGAGACAGAGTCTCACTCTATTGCCCTGGGTAGAGTTCCATGGTGTCACATCTCACAGCAACCTCAAACTCTTGGGCTCCAGCAATCCTCTTGCCTCAGCCTCCCAAGTAGCTGGGACAACAGGTGCCCACCACAACCCTCAGCCAATTTTTCTATTTTTAGTAGAGACAGGGTCTCAGTCCTGCTCACGCAGGTCTTGAACTCTAGAGCTCAAGTGATCCACCTGCCTTGGTCTCCTAGAGTGCTAAGATTATAGGCAGGAGCCACTGTGCCTGACCTCTTCTTTTCTTTTAACATACGCATATGGAATGCCATTTATTGTAATTTTTTAAAAATGTTTTCCAGGCTATTTAATCAAGTTACTTACAATGTACACATTCCTGAGTATGCCCATTGTTGTAACATTGTTTTGGAGTTTTTCTGCATTCAGTTTTAAAAGTGTTTAAAAGGAACTAAACTTTTCATAGGAGAACTGGGTTCATAAAATAGATTCATTGCAAACTTTATAGACATACAAATCATAGAAATCAGTAAAGTTTATTCCTTCTTCTTGCCGTATGTCTTAATAAATCTCACGTGCCCTTCAGTGGCAAATGCTGACACAAACCACCTGTTGAACTTGCCCACAGTTTTCACATGTTCGATACACGTTCGAGAGCCACATTTTCTCATCTACCAGGTCGAGAGCAGCATGAGCTATGAGCTGGTTTAGATGACAGTGGTTGTCTTTGGATTCTGCTTTCCCAGCTGGCAAAAACACAATTTCTAAAACTGGATTATCATGGTGGCCAACAAAGTAGAAGCTTCCAGACACTGTCTTCAATGCCTCCTGTAGCGAGATGCAGATAATGGAAACGCCCAGTCCCTTCCTGCTGCAGAGACCTGGTGCCAAGTCCCTTCCTGCTACAGAGACCCACGCTTGGCAGCTTCAGTTTAATTTATTGTAACTTTTAAAAGCACATCCCTCATTTTAATTCCCTTTATTCAACATTCTGGGGAGGAAGGCGTACAGAAGTCAGGGTTCCCCTCAGAACCATCAAAGAGGGGTCTCAAGGGGTCTTTAGCTAATCAGCCTGGGTGAGAGACTTCAGGCCCCTTCCTTACAGTCCTGGCTTGTCACAATCAATGGAAGCAAAGTTTCCCAAAGGGAATTCTAGCTTCTCCCCATTTATCAGGGCTGCTTCCCCCAAACTTTTCTGCTGAAAGTCTGTTCTTCTCAGAATTAAATATAGTTAAATACAGGAGAGGGGAGTCTCTGTGAGAAGCCAGGGGTGGGTATGTTCGCAGGAGTCAAAAAAAAGGTGTCTCAGACTCTAGGTCCAGCTTCCTGTCCAGGCTTCCCATGCCTCCAGGTCTCAGCTGAATAGCTTCCAGCTTGCTAGCATGCCAGATTGTACCAAGCCCTTGAGGGGAGGAGGATGACCTTTTATGGAAAGGTAAATGGTTCCTTAGTCAAGTCAGGGCAATCAACTACAGAGACCTGGACATCTGCAAAGTTATCTTTTAGTCCTTTCTGCATAACTCCAGCAAGCTCCTTCAGACTTGGAACATGAAAACTGAGCAAAAGCCATTTTCTTCTTCAGGAGTGAGGTTGTACAAACAAAGCTATTGTTTGTTAACACAGGAGTTCACAGTACTGTATTAACAGTTGCTGTTTGAGTAGGTCCAGGAAGCCAACACCTCAATCTCAACCCCCCCTTTTTTTGGGGGGGGGAAGAAGCTCACTCAGTTTCCCTGGGGTTTGAGGGCAGTGGTGTCATAGCTC